CTGGTTTAGTCCTGGTTTAGTTCTGTTTTAGTTCTGGTTTAGTTCTGTTTTAGTCCTGGTTTAGTTCTGTTTTAGTCCTGGTTTAGTCCTGGTTCAGTCCTGGTTTAGTCCTGGTTCAGTCCTGGTTTAGTCCTGGTTCAGTCCTGGTTTAGTTCTGTTTTAGTCCTGGTTTAGTCCTGGTTCAGTCCTGGTTCAGTCCTGGTTTAGTTCTGTTTTAGTCCTGGTTTAGTTCTGGTTTAGTCCTGGTTCAGTCCTAGTTTAGTTCTGTTTTAGTCCTGGTTTAGTCCTGGTTCAGTCCTGGTTTAGTCCTGGTTCAGTCCTGGTTTAGTTCTGTTTTAGTTCAGTCCTGGTTTAGTCCTGGTTCATGTGTTATAATCTATGATTTATGTTCTGCAGGTGATTATGAATGGTGTTAATGTTAATAACATGATTCCGCATCATTTTGAGTAAAAAAAAAACATCAAATATAACAGATTTTTCCTGGACTTGCACCTTTATGTTTGTACTTTACTGTACTGTAGAGCATTTTGAACTTAGGAGATTTAGACAGACTAAATGACAGACAGATATAGACAGACATGTTACTGAAGTAGGTGAATGAAACAAACAAAACACAACTCCACATATATTTCTGACAAGGTAACAACATTATAACATATATTAAAGCTCACATGAGTCAATTTGCCTTAAATCTAACTTGAAAATTCCGCTTTCTACTATCCAAATGCCTCATATTCACTTATTTTCAAAGATCAAAAAGTTACCAGTGTAAACCTTAAGCTCATTAGCAAACTCCTTAGGGCTTATTTTGCTTTTATGTTGCAGATTAATTATAGATTTATTGAAAACCCTCCCACGTGGCTGTGTTTTTGTTCATTTAGGCCTTAAAAACCTGCGAAGAGTGTTTTCCAATCCCCCCTTTAGATCACTAAGAGGGCTGGTTTAATTTGACGTGCACCATTGGTAATCCTGATTGACAAAATGCTTAGTGGACCACAAGCAAGCTTCAATTAAGTCGCATCAGCCCTAACTGGTGTTTTCATGTTTAATTCCTACAGGGACTGCCTCTGTGCTGCCGCTCCAGGGCTGTTAAGTGGATGAAAAAGTAATGTGGTTTATGTATGGCGGTGTGAAAAAGGGTGACAGAGCATTATGTAACAGGTTCATTCATAACAGTCGGAGCGGGAGGAGGGAGCGGCATGTTACGAGCGTGTGGTCCAACGTCTCACGGTCTCACAATGGGGGAACTTCCGGTGTTGTAAGGTGAAGTTCAAGCACGGCAGGAGAATAGAAATATTCAAGCAAAAATCAAGGTTAATAACTGTCCAAGCCCAAATAAGTTACCTGAATTCCAAAACTAAGACTAAAGAGACTAAAACTAACTAAAACAGGACTAAAACAGGACTAAAACAAGACTAAAACAAGACTAAGACAAGACTAAGACAAGACTAAACAAGACTAAAACAAGACTAAAACAAGACTAAAACAGGACTAAAACAAAGACTAAAACAGGACTAAAACAAGACAAAAAACAAGACTAAAACAGGACTTAAACAGGACTAAACAAGACTAAAACAAGACTAAAACAGGACTTAAACAGGACTAAACAAGACTAAAACAAGACTAAAACAGACTAAAACAAGACTAAAAACAAGACTAAAACAGGACTAAACAAGACTAAAACAAGACTAAAACAGGACTAAAACAGACTAAAACAAGACTAAAACAAGACTAAAAAGACTAAAACAAGACTAAAACAGACTAAAACAAGACTAAAACAAGACTAAAACAAAGACTAAACAGGACTAAAACAGGACTAAAACAAGACAAAAACAGGACAAAAACAAGACTAAAACAAGACTAAAACAAGACTAAAACAAGACTAAAACAAGACTAAAACAGGACTAAAACAAGACTAAAACAGACTAAAACAAGACTAAAACAGACTAAAACAAGACTAAAACAAGACTAAACAGACAAGACTAAAACAAGACTAAAACAAGGACTAAAACAAGACTAAAACAAGACTAAAAAACAAGACTAAAACAAGACTAAACAAGACTAAAACAAGACTAAAACAAGACTAAAACAAGACTAAAAAACACAGGACTAAAACAAGACTAAAACAAGACTAAAACAAGACTAAAAAACACAGACTAAAACAAGACTAAACAAGACTAAAAAGACTAAAACAGACTAAAACAGACTAAAACAAGACTAAACAAGACTAAACAAGGACTAAAACAGGACTAAAACAGACAAGACTAAAAAAAGACTAAAAAAGGACTAAAACAAACTAAAAGACTAAAACAAGACTAAAACAGGACTAAACAGACTAAACAAGACTAAAAAGACAAGACTAAAACAAGACTAAAACAAGACTAAAACAGACTAAGACAAGACTAAAACAAGACTAAAACACAGACTAAAACAAGACTAAAACAGGACTAAAACAAGACTAAAACAAGACTAAAACAAGACTAAAACAGGACTAAAACAGGACTAAAACAAGACTAAAACAAGACTAAAACAAGACTAAAACAGACTAAAACAAGACTAAAACAAGACTAAAACAAGACTAAAACAAGACTAAAACAGGACTAAAACAAGACTAAAACAAGACTAAACTAAAACAGGACTAAAAAACAAGACTAAACAAGACTAAAACAAGACTAAAAGACTAAACTAAAACAGACTAAAACAAGACTAAAACAAGACTAAAACAAGACTAAAACAAGACTAAAACAAGACTAAAAACAAGACTAAAACAAGACTAAAACAAGACTAAAACAAGACTAAAAAAGACTAAAACAAGACTAAACACAGACTAAAACAAGACTAAAACAAGACTAAAACAAGACTAAAACAGGACTAAAACAAGACTAAAACAGGACTAAAACAGGACTAAAACAAGACTAAAACAAGACTAAAACAAGACTAAAACAAGACTAAAACAAGACTAAAACAAGACTAAAACAGGACTAAAACAGGACTAAAACAAGACTAAAACAGGACTAAAACAGAACTAAAACAAGACTAAGACAAGAGAAGACTAAAACAAGACTAAAACAAGGCTAAAACAGGACTAGAACAGGACTAAAACAAGACTAAAACAGGACTAAAAAAAAAAGACTAAAACAAGACTAGACAGGACTAAAACAACACTAAGACAAGACTAAAACAGGACTAAAATAAGACTAAAACAGGACTAGAACAGGACTAAATCAGGACTAGAACAGGACTAAACCAGGACTAGAACAGGACTAAACCAGGTCTAAAACAGAACTAAACCTGAACTGAACCAGGACTGAGTATCAGGACGGGTCCAGAGATGCACCTGCATAGACTGTCAGGTGTCTTGCTGTCACCTGATCGTGCTTTGCAGACACCCTGCTCTGTGGGCTCGGGGTTCTCTCTCTCTCACTCTCTAGTCTAAGATTAGTGCTGGTTTAGTCCTGGTTTAGTCCTGGTTTAGACCTGGTTTAGACCGGGTTTAGATCTGGTGTAGTCCTGGTTTAGACCTGGTTTAGACCGGGTTTAGATCTGGTGTAGTCCTGGTTTAGACCTGGTTTAGTCCTGTTTTAGTCTTGGTTTAGCTGGTTTAAAAATAGGCTGAAATGTTCACTGTAAACCTAAATAAGTTTCCTGAACTAAAAAGAAAAATTCCCAATCAATTCCCTCAATTATTTTAAGTTGATGAACTTAAAAGTCACAATCTTTCAGAACTTTTGCTGAAATATATGGAGAAAAATTAAGCATTTGTTATTGTATGTTACATGGGATCTGTGAATTTCTCATATTCTTAGATTTGAGCTGCTATAGGTGACATTTATGTTTCACAATTCAAACATTATAATATTTTATAATATTGAAGGAGAGGTCTGATTTTTATGGTGGAATTAGTTGTTTAACTTTATCATTCTCAGTGTTAAATTACTTCCATCTATTACACAGGTGTCAAACATAAGGCCCGGGGGCCAGATCCGGCCCTCCAAGACCTTTAATGTGGCCCTTGGGTGATTTTCTTCTAAAATATTTTAATAATATTTTCTATTAAAATCTTGTTAATTTTCTGTGGTGTTTATCACAGCAGCGTCTCCAGCGCCTCTGTACGTGGCCCCTCCCACCAGAGCAGCACAAATGAAGACTTGTCTCTTTCCAAACGCTCTTAAAGAACGATCGTTTAGAAAAATGAAGCAAAATGTCCAAAATGAGAAAAGTGGAGCCGAATGCAGGATTTTCCAAGAAAAACTGACTTATTCCTATTTGCAAACAAGTTCATGTTAAAACATTGTGTTGAAATTGAATTTTTCTTAAAGTTGCAGGTTGTTCATAATATTATAATAAGAAAGAGTTCATCAATTAAAAAAGATTTCTGTAATAGATTTGCGTTTCTCTGCACAAATATTTGAACTTATTGTTATTTTAGGGGTTTATATGACATGAGTTTTCTGATCCGGCCCCTTTGGGATCAAAGTCGGTTGGATACGGCCCCCAGACCAAAATGAGTTTGACACCCCTGATCTATTAAGTTGTACCTCATCTATGTTTTTAAGTTTCGCTCACTTATACACACAGTAGTTCTCTTTAATCAAACAAATATTAGTTAAAATTACTCAAAAAGAAGAACATGTTACAGCAACTTGACATAATTAAGTTAGCAGGACTATTTCTAAACTTTGAGTAAACACAACTTAATTTATTTAATTACTTCGTAACGTTCGGATTTACAGCGTATTATGTGAAGTTTAATCCATGTTATAATGTTATTACCATATCAAAAACACACCTGGAGTTGTGTTTTGTTTTTGTTTTTTTGGTTTTTTTAGTCTGTCTACATCTCCAAAGCTCAAAATGCTTAATAGTTTTCAAGTCAACAGCTCCTTTTACTTTAAATTCAGTAGCGATTGGTAATTCCAGGGCTGCAAATAATTCAGACGATTCAAGTAAAGGTGCACGGAGTTTAAAAACCTTCCTCCTTTTCTCTTTCTCTGTCCCAGGTATTCGTTCCAGGATGAGGAGGACATGTTCATGGTGGTGGACCTGCTTCTGGGGGGAGACCTGAGGTACCACCTGCAGCAGAACGTCCAGTTTGGAGAAGAGGCTGTAAAACTCTACCTGTGTGAGATGACTCTAGCACTGGACTACCTGCAGAGCCAGCACATCATACACAGGTACAAATCACACTAAAACACGGATCTCCAACCTGTAGCTCTCCATCCCCGTCCAAGTAGCTCGCCAAGGGATTTCGGAATTATACATATTGTGCTGAATAACTCAAATTTGACTGAATAAATGCCTATTTCCTTTGTAAATGTATAATTTTGATGCCTAATTTTGTGCACTGATAACTGGAAAAAGGGTTATGTTTTATAGACATCGAACTGTACCTCATCTTTGACTAACCATGACGCTTATATTTACAAAATTTCTGCGACCACTAAAATTAGTAGCTCTCTGGCATTTTTAATTTCACAAAAAGTAGCTCACAGGAGGATAGGGGTTGGAGACTCCTGCTCTAAAACGTAAGAATGAACTGGCTGGTTTAGATGCTTGCTTCGTTTTCACACGATACTAAAATTTCAAATTAAAAAACACTCTTTATTTAGACAACAGAAGGTGATTTCAACATAAAATTAGTGTTCCGAGTAGGTTTCATCGTGGTCCATGGGCGTCGTTGTGGAATTTCTAGTCTGCAAACATCAAAAGAACTGAAAAGTTGTCTTGAATCAAGGAATCGAGGAGATTTATTGAAGCCACTGCGTGCACACAATCACAAAATAAAACCTAGTCTCATCCGGAACAGGTCAACACAAGGCTGGGTCGACAATCAGGAAAATAACAAGCTGGGATTGATATAAACAATAAACCGTATGGGGAGCACAAGGCCAGACTGTTATACGTAGGATTAAGCTTAAAGTGAGCAATCAAGAAACTAGGTATAAAAACCAAGTTGTAAGAATCAAAAGGTTGTGATAACTTTGCTTAACAGTAGATATCTGATGTACCATTTAGCCTGAATCAAATAAATGATCACTGGTGTAAAGATTTCCATAAGAGTTTAATCTATGTGCTCTTATACTTTTCTGATACAGCTCAAGCTCATTCTAAAACTATTCCAGAAAGGGTCATTTCTGTCCTGTGAACGTGACTTTTTTTAGTATCGATAACAAATTAAAGTCTAGTTTAATACTAGTATCGATTAATATCTGATAGGGGTGGGACGAGACACAATTTTCACAAGACGAGACGCACCACAAGAACGAGACAAGACGAGATTTTGACATAATGTGTAATAAATACCGTAATTTCTGGACTACTGAGTGCACCTGAATATAAGCCACATCAACTAAATTTAAAAATAAAAAAAAATAAAAGTACATATGTAGGCCGCACTTGTCTATAAGCTGCAAGTGTTCATATAATGTATAACAGCCTTGAGTTTAAAGTGGGCGTTGTAAGTGTGTCTCTTGACAGGTACGTTTTGATATTAAAAAGAATCACAGTATGTATTACTCCGTGATGCTCTTGACTACAGTAGCCGTAATGCTGCAAGTGGTGCGGCTTTGTAGTTTACTAAAGTCGCACTAAGACACCCCAATAAATTCATATATAAGGCGCTCTGGATGATAAGTTGTCGTTTTTTGATAAAATTAAAGGCTTTTAAGTGCGCCCTATAGTGCGTAAATTCGGTAAACCATAATTAGATCTTCCAATCTCTCTATAATGTTTGTGACATGCTCGCACTTTTACATGACACTCAGTCCTACCCATAAAAGAAGCCGTAACTGTGCGTTTCCTTTTTCTATTTTTTTTACTACCAGTCCAACTCCACTATTCTGACATTCATGTTGCAGTATTTTTCTAATGAGTCGATCCCACGCACAGTCAGAGCCCACACACAGGAAGTCATGTGCATCTCCTGGAGTTTGAATCAATGTGACTGCGGGTTAAGACACAAGTTCATTCACAGCTCACTGTAAAAATAGACTCTTCCTGCATCACATTTCACAGATATAAGTTACAGTGTGCGATATCAAGTGTTTGTATTCAACTAAATATGAAGGTAAAGATATGGGAGTTATTGGCTTTACCTGATTCTTTCCAGTCTTAAAAATGTGAAAAACAGCACAAGTAATTTTAAATAGTTGGTCCAAAGCTACTCCTCACTTTTTCCCAGCATCTTTTTTATCGCGATGAGTGACTTTGTGATTATCGGACAATAAAGCGTTTAATAATTAGTAGGGCTGGGTATCATTCAGAAGTTGCCGATACGATACATAGACCACGAAACGATACGCATCTCGATTCAGTGAGCTTTTGGTTTGATACGATTCTATACGATATATTTCAAATCGATTCAATACGGTTTAGTAAAAGATAAAGGCTGTGACCACTTTTTGTGCAAAGTTCATATGAAAAACACTATTTTTAATCGTCAAAACCGTGAAAATGTCAAATGTGTTACATGATTGAGTTTCCTTCCTGTGAACAAGCAACAAACTGTAGCACTGTAACAAAATAATTTAGTAAAATATAACAAAAAATACTCTTGGCGATATATCGATACAGCAGCCCACAATATCGATACTGTCACAATAAACTATACGATATATATACGCTTTTTAATCTTAGCCCTGATGAAGAGCACTTGGGTCAAAACATGTTGGCTTTGTCCATCTAAATTAAAGACTATTAATTTTTCCTCTTGCGATTTTTACTTTTTTGCAGTGCCTACATTCTGTTGTGTTTAAAAAAAAAGCTCTACGATATATTGATATTCTGATATTTTTGTGCACCCCCAGTAATTAGATGCTTATTTTGACCTCAAGACCGGCTTATACAATATATGTCTAAGGTTCTGGATTTTTTTGCTTAAATATATGGATATAAATTAAGAATATGTGACTGTATGTTACATGGGATCTGTGAATTTCTCATATTCATAGATTTGAGCTGCTACAGGTGACATTTTGGCTGCGTTCAGACTGCAGCCTGAAGTGACCCAAATCCGATTTTTTGGCCTCTATGTGACCTGTATCTGATCTTTTAATGACAGTCTGAACGACACAGATCTGATTTTTTCAAATGTGACCCAGGACACTTGGATATGTGCTCCTGAAACCGATACATATCTGATCTTTTGACATGCGACTTCAGTCTGAACGGCCAAAGTGCATTCATCCACCTACACGTTATCAACAAGCCACAAATGTCACTATTCTGCGCTGAAGTAGGCGAAAATTGTTAATGAACTCCGTGTCACTGAAGTGAAGCACATCACCACTCACCACTCTTGGCTACGTCTCCACATCCACACGTTCCTTTCAACGGACGTCGCTGCCGCTGCCCCAAAAAACACCACGGCCAAAAACCTCGTCCTTCTCCTTCTCAATCTCCTCCTTAAAACAAGTAAGTTGTTCATGTTCTGGCTCCGGTACGAGAGGAAACTTTAAAATCTCCAGATGCTCAATGCTCGCGTCCATGTTTGGAAAACTTCCGTAAACACAGAGACGCTCACTGCGGTTGACGTCGTCGTGTCTCCAGTGCACATGCGGGACACTTTCGGGCCGTTTAACGTTCACACTGGAGTCACATACAAGTCGCATTTAATTGGAAATGTGAACGACCTCGCAAAAACATCGGATTTCACAAAAAAATCGGAATTGAGCGTTAAGCCCTGCAGTCTGAACTTAGCCTTTGAGTACTTTTTACAAGTCAAAAGTTATAATATTTTGGTTTAAATTGTTAAATTGTTACTTTGGCAACGGCCCAAATTCTCATTTACATTTTTCATTGAAGGAGAGGTCTGATTTTTATGGTGGAATTAGCTGTTGAACTATCAGATTACAGTTTTTTTTAACGTGGTTTATGGTATAGTATTTCTGTAATTACTGTGTCTATCCACATTAAACAAATCTAGCACAGTCCATCTTCTGTCAGCATAAATCATGAAAAGTGAAATTATTTTTTCACAATAGCTTCAGAGAGTGGTGCCGTTATTCATCCTCAAAGACGTGTTGTTTTTAGCTGAAAGGACTTTAAATCATTAGATTAATAGAGCAAGTTTTTGGAGCCAATCCCTCATAAATATGGTCAGACTGAACCATCAACTTTTGGATTAGTAGACAAATGGCTTTAACAAATTGCCTTTATCGTCCTAAAATTTAACCTTTTCATTCCCACTATTTCACAATTTTGTCTGTGGCTTGCATCAGTCTGTTGAGTCTTTGTTCCTATTTCCACACCAAAAAGATCACCTCAAGGTTATGTCGTGTCACTGCTCGTCTTTCATCATGCCTTCTGTTTGAATGTTTGTTGAATTAAAAAAAAAAAAAAGGAATGAATTTCAGATCTAAAATAAACTTGAAAGAGACAGAGAAGTCCTTTATAATCTACAGGGAACATTCTAACACTGTCATTTATCAGAAAGCACAAAGTCATGGCGTCTTTCCCAAAAGTGTTTACAGATTTGGGCCAAAATACACAACTGTAAAAGCGCAATTTGTAACTTTTGTGGTTCGTCACCTTGGGGATGTTACTGTTTTGCATAGAATGTTCCACAGTCTGGCATTAAAGGAACTATATTATGCAAGATTGACTATTGTGAGCTGTTAGTCATGTTATAATGGTGTTAACTTCTCAAAAACAGACCCAGAGTTTTGTTTTGTTTCATTTACACATGTTTGAGTAAGTTTTTATTATTAGTCTGACAGCTGCCTTTTACCTTTAGTTCAGTAGAGATTGGAGATTCCTGGGCTGAAATCATCCAGATGATTCTAGTTCAGGTTTCCATCCATCCATCCATTTTCTTCTGCTTATCCGGGGCCGGGTCACGGGGGCAGCAGTCTAAGCAGGGACTCCCAGACTTCATTCACCCCAGACACTTCCTCCAGCTCCTCCGGCGGGACCCTAAGGCGTTCCCAGGCCAGCCGAGAGACATAGTCCCTCCAGCGTGTCCGGTGGGACATGCCTGGAACACAATTAAGGGGAGGCGCTCAGAAGACATCCGGAACAGATGCCCGAGCCACCTCAGCTGCTCCTCTCGATGTGGAGGAGCAGCGGCTCTACTCCGAGCTCCTCCCGTGTGACTGAGCTCCTCACCCTCTCTCTAAAGAAGCGCCCAGCCACCCTGCGGAGGAAACTCATCTCGGCCGCTTGTGTCCGCGAGTGC